GACTTCTCGTTTGTCAGGAGCTGAAAGATCTTGCAAGAACCGACCCCAACTTCCTTTTTAAGCTCCGTGTGACTTCTTCCTCTTCCCAAAGATGAAAATTCAGCTCAAGGGAAGGAGATTTGAGACGATAGAAGAGATTCAGGCAGAATCGCAGATGGTGCTTGACAGGCTGACAAAGAAAGATTTCCAGGGATGCTTCCAGGCTTGGCAGCGGCGCTGGGATCGTTGTGTTCACTCCCAGGGGAACTACTTCGAGGATGATGGATGAATTTAATACCTGAGATAATTGTACGGGTTTTTATAGGCGCAGTCTTGAAACTTTCTGATCGCACCTCGTATAGACAGTTATTGCCGATTATCGACGTGGATTCTCACGTAAAAGTTCGGCTATCTCCGTCAGTCGGTCATCGGAGAAAGGTCGGGACGGCGCATCATCTGTTTATAGACTTCAAGAAAGCCAGTGACTTTGTATAAAAGTATTTTACGACATTCTCGTTGAATTTGGTAAAACCACGAAATTATTTACGCTAATTAAAATGTTTCTAAACAAAACTTGTAGTAATCTTCGTACACGTAAACAACTGTATGATACATTCCATATTAAAAATGCCCGAGGATAAGGAGACAATTTGTTATTACGAAGGTTCAGAATGAATCGGGGAGAATTTGAGTCACTTTCAGGTCCAAAGCGTTTCGGCTCGTGCCTTCTACAATTAGGACGAAGGGATGAATATTACAAACCCTGAGTCTTAACGCAACTACTGCTGAATTATAAATAATTACGGTTGTATTTGTGGCGTGGCGCATGAATAACCAACTAACCAACTAACGGCCCCGCTTCATTCCTCCAGTGCTATTAACGTGACTCTAGACACTAACCAAACGAGCGTAGAAGTCGAGGAGGAGGAGGAGGTTGTTGATGACGAAGAAGTGGAAGGAGAAGAATACGACATGAATGAGGAGGAAGACATGTACGATGAAGACGACTCTGGCTTCTTTAATATCGGGTGAGTCCGCTGCGTCTCAGAGCTTTGATTTATGTCTGTCCGCGTCTCTCTGTGTTGTGCTGTCCTGTGTACAGGTAGAGGCCTTGCGACGGGCTGATCCCCCGTCCAAGGAGTCCTACCGAATGTCTAATAGATCGAGGCTACGAAAAGTTGGGACCCCCAGTGCTCAGGCACTTGAAGAACGGGTCGATCCCAGTATCCCCAGTGCCAGAAAAGTAGTGCAATTTAGGTTAGGTTAGGTTTGGGTTAGGTTAGGTTAGGCTTGGGTTAGGTTAGGTTAGGTTGGATTAGGTTATGTTAGGTTGGGTTAGGTTAGGTTAGGTTAAGTTAGGTTACGTAAGGTTAGGTTAAGTTAGGTTAGGCTTGGGTTAGGTTAGGTTAGGTTGGATTAGGTTATGTTAGGTTGGGTTAGGTTAGGTTAGGTTAAGTTAGGTTGGGTTAGGTTAGGTTAGTTTAATTTAGGTTAAGTTAGGTTGGTTCATAAGTTCTTCATTGGAGCAGTTGTTTCGTATAGGAAGGCTTTGTCGGATATTGCCCATTTTCCGAGGCGACATTTCGAAAGTTCCCAAGTTCGATTCCAACTGCTTTCCCTAATAGTACAAAGAAAAACTTCAGTACATTAACAACCGATCGCCCGAGAGCTGACTCCTGAAATGTTGTGTGTATCGGACGTACCTCAGACGATGGACGGCGTCTACATGGCGTTCCCATAATCACTCGGCCATTGGCGCAAACCTTTAAAGAATTTTTAATTATTTATTAACCGTGGAGGGACAGAATTTTTATCTTTGCCGTGTTCAGACTAACTTGGAGCCCACTCTGCTCTTTCCTCAGGAGTGAAGTGGCCAGAGCTTAAAGCTAACCAATCACCTTAACCTAATTCCTTGTGCAGATCTATGTTCTTAGTTGTGAGGACACGCCCTTGGAAGGTGGTCACGTAATGAGATGATATAACGACATCTGAATTGAACTCGTCGTTTGCTGAAATGAAATGAACTGAATCGTCTGGTTCGTACCCACGTCCAAAAGTGGGCTGTACTCTTATTAACGTAGAACATTTGAATTATATTACTAGAGAATTTGTTCAGTTTTGGCTTTAAGTTAGAAACTTTATAAATATTTTGTATATGACGTGTCCAGGACCAGATTTTTGTTGGACGAGGCCATCTGTGTTACAGGAGGAAGGGCGAGAGGACTAACAGGTATGAGTTGAAGTTCCGGACAACGGAATCGAACGGCCTGATCCTGTGGTTGGGGAAAGGGAGGACCCTTGCTGGGGACTTCCTCGCAATTGCCTTGGTCAACGGATACGCAGAGCTCAGCTTTAACCTAGGTCGACAGCACAGTTTTCTCGCCGTCCGCTCCAAGGTACTGCGATTTGAAGTCCGAAAATATTTTAGACGAAATTAAGAAACAAATAATTTAAAGTAGACCACGAACATCTCGTACTTACCTCCCAGATCATCGTCCTATAATTAAATTAAAAGAAAAAGACTTTTGAGTCGTCGCTCGCTTCCCCACCCACGCAGCTGAGTTAAAAAGACTTGAAACTGTTCTTGTAGGTTCTTGTGAGCGACGGGACGTGGCACACCTTACTGGCCCATCGCCGCAAGAGACACGCTTGGTTGCAGGTGGACGCAGAGTCGCCCGCTAGGGGCGTGGCGCACCCTGGTGCCACGCTGCTCAACACCGACGCTCGACTCTGGATCGGTGAGCGGTTTTTTTGAAAAAATATTTTTTTTGGTTGGGCCTTCTTAAATGTAATTAAAGCGAGTTTCGGCTTCAAAGGGTAAACCAGCTGATTTTCGTAATGGTGAAGCGTAGTGTTTTCTTCGCGGTACGGACTGAATTCGTAAATACGTAATATTTAGACGAGCTTTGACTTCAAAGGGTTAACCAGCTGATTTTCGTAATGGTGAAGCGTAGTGTTTTCTTCGCGGTACGGACTGAATTCGTAAATACGTAATATTTAGACGAGCTTTGACTTCAAAGGGTTAACCAGCTGATTTTCGTAATGGTGAAGCGTAGTGTTTTCTTCGCGGTACGGACTGAATTCGTAAATACGTAATATTTAGACGAGCTTTGACTTCAAAGGGTTAACCAGCTGATTTTCGTAATGGTGAAGCGTAGTGTTTTCTTCGCGGTACGGACTGAATTCGTAAATACGTAATATTTAGACGAGCTTTGACTTCAAAGGGTTAACCAGCTGATTTTCGTAATGGTGAAGCGTAGTGTTTTCTTCGCGGTACGGACTGAATTCGTAAATACGTAATATTTAGACGAGCTTTGACTTCAAAGGGTTAACCAGCTGATTTTCGTAATGGTGAAGCGTAGTGTTTTCTTCGCGGTACGGACTGAATTCGTAAATACGTAATATTTAGACGAGCTTTGACTTCAAAGGGTTAACCAGCTGATTTTCGTAATGGTGAAGCGTAGTGTTTTCTTCGCGGTACGGACTGAATTCGTAAATACGTAATATTTAGACGAGCTTTGACTTCAAAGGGTTAACCAGCTGATTTTCGTAATGGTGAAGCGTAGTGTTTTCTTCGCGGTACGGACTGAATTCGTAAATACGTAATATTTAGACGAGCTTTGACTTCAAAGGGTTAACCAGCTGATTTTCGTAATGGTGAAGCGTAGTGTTTTCTTCGCGGTACGGACTGAATTCGTAAATACGTAATATTTAGACGAGCTTTGACTTCAAAGGGTTAACCAGCTGATTTTCGTAATGGTGAAGCGTAGTGTTTTCTTCGCGGTACGGACTGAATTCGTAAATACGTAATATTTAGACGAGCTTTGACTTCAAAGGGTTAACCAGCTGATTTTCGTAATGGTGAAGCGTAGTGTTTTCTTCGCGGTACGGACTGAATTCGTAAATACGTAATATTTAGACGAGCTTTGACTTCAAAGGGTTAACCAGCTGATTTTCGTAATGGTGAAGCGTAGTGTTTTCTTCGCGGTACGGACTGAATTCGTAAATACGTAATATTTAGACGAGCTTTGACTTCAAAGGGTTAACCAGCTGATTTTCGTAATGGTGAAGCGTAGTGTTTTCTTCGCGGTACGGACTGAATTCGTAAATACGTAATATTTAGACGAGCTTTGACTTCAAAGGGTTAACCAGCTGATTTTCGTAATGGTGAAGCGTAGTGTTTTCTTCGCGGTACGGACTGAATTCGTAAATACGTAATATTTAGACGAGCTTTGACTTCAAAGGGTTAACCAGCTGATTTTCGTAATGGTGAAGCGTAGTGTTTTCTTCGCGGTACGGACTGAATTCGTAAATACGTAATATTTAGACGAGCTTTGACTTCAAAGGGTTAACCAGCTGATTTTCGTAATGGTGAAGCGTAGTGTTTTCTTCGCGGTACGGACTGAATTCGTAAATACGTAATATTTAGACGAGCTTTGACTTCAAAGGGTTAACCAGCTGATTTTCGTAATGGTGAAGCGTAGTGTTTTCTTCGCGGTACGGACTGAATTCGTAAATACGTAATATTTAGACGAGCTTTGACTTCAAAGGGTTAACCAGCTGATTTTCGTAATGGTGAAGCGTAGTGTTTTCTTCGCGGTACGGACTGAATTCGTAAATACGTAATATTTAGACGAGCTTTGACTTCAAAGGGTTAACCAGCTGATTTTCGTAATGGTGAAGCGTAGTGTTTTCTTCGCGGTACGGACTGAATTCGTAAATACGTAATATTTAGACGAGCTTTGACTTCAAAGGGTTAACCAGCTGATTTTCGTAATGGTGAAGCGTAGTGTTTTCTTCGCGGTACGGACTGAATTCGTAAATACGTAATATTTAGACGAGCTTTGACTTCAAAGGGTTAACCAGCTGATTTTCGTAATGGTGAAGCGTAGTGTTTTCTTCGCGGTACGGACTGAATTCGTAAATACGTAATATTTAGACGAGCTTTGACTTCAAAGGGTTAACCAGCTGATTTTCGTAATGGTGAAGCGTAGTGTTTTCTTCGCGGTACGGACTGAATTCGTAAATACGTAATATTTAGACGAGCTTTGACTTCAAAGGGTTAACCAGCTGATTTTCGTAATGGTGAAGCGTAGTGTTTTCTTCGCGGTACGGACTGAATTCGTAAATACGTAATATTTAGACGAGCTTTGACTTCAAAGGGTTAACCAGCTGATTTTCGTAATGGTGAAGCGTAGTGTTTTCTTCGCGGTACGGACTGAATTCGTAAATACGTAATATTTAGACGAGCTTTGACTTCAAAGGGTAAAGGACTTCTTTAGGTTTTGAATACCCTAATTGTTCCTTAGATGAAGAATCTAGAAAACCGAGGGTGATACGTAGTATATGGTTGGTGTTAAGAATTCTTGTCGATGTTTCAGGTGGATCGGCGACGCTTCCCTCGGGACTCCCGGCGCCTTACTACGTAGGATTCAAAGGCTGCGTGGATAAAGTTAAAGTATCCAGAAAACCATTAGACATGCTCAACAGGCTTGGAAATGATCATTCTCCCATCCAGTTCTGTCACGATAACGACGTCTGACCTACGTGATCGTATCTGCTCGCGATAAAAAGTTTCTCCTCTCTGCGCTAACGAGATCTCGCGTATTTTGAGTGAGAAATTCTTTGGTAGTGTTCGGCATTTTTGGAAGTTCCGAAGTGTGAAAGTACGTGAAAGTGTTGAAAGATGACCGTTCCTTCAGGTCGTCAAAGCATTTGATTTTTCGTGTAGGAAATGAGTAAGAAGAAGGATGATTATCATTAAGCCAGATGTAATTTTCTTCCTACAAATGCACAATGCGACATAACAGAATTGACTGCAAGATTTTTAGTATTTTATCGAACCAAATTCACCCGCCCCTCCACAGATATCGACCACGTCTTCTGTGGAACGTCCCGAAAGCAAACCATCGCGTAATCTGCGGACCAGATAATTGCATCTCATTCTACTCGTACATAAAAGTCGCCCCTTCAGAACGAAATCAAATATTCCGCGGGTTTGCTGATGTTTTTTTTCTCGTAATTTGAGTCGCCGTGACGAAAAATGTTCACCGCTTAGTATTTACGTAATTTTTAACTTACTATTTAATAAGAACGGCAAAGAAAATCGCTGAGTAGCCCAGCTGCTTGCCTGTCATTCGTAATAAATTTACGAAATTTTCCGCATTTTCCCACGAGTCGATAAGAAAATGTCAAGTGTGGGCCCCCCCTGATATAGTGAAAACAGTAAAATTTAAACTTTTATTTTAACGAAAGGCGATTACCTCGTTCGTATTTACGAATTCAGATCTGGTGTCAGATGACAGAAGTTTTACGTTACGTGAGAATATCTTCATGACGTCAACAAGAAATTGAATCGTATTTGATGAACATAATTCGAAAAGAAAGTCGTCCCCCACTCTAAAATGTGATTAAAACTCAAAATTAAATTTAAGACTGTGATTAAAACTCAAAATTAAATTTAATATGGCTGTCTTCTGGGTTGATGCCTCATCACCCTGATGATGGAGGCAGCAAGAACCTCTGAAGTGTCCGTAAACTTGTACCACGATTTGCGATTCGCGTGATTTTCTCACGGAGAAATCTCAAATTCAAATTTTTGTTTCTATATCCGCATTTTTTCTGTGACAGGAAAATTCTCCCTTTTCGTATTCTCTTACGTCAGAATTTCTCTGAAGAGGATTTTATCCTCTAGCCCACCTCTATCTTCAGGGTAGTGAACTTTTTGTGGTTAACTTACTATTTATTTTGGACGTAGGAATTTTTATAATCTCGACCACTTTTTATTCTCAGCTTTACGTTAATTACGATTTCATTCGTATTTTGTCGGGCGTCGCGTAGAATACGTCAGATTCGAAATAAATCTGCTGATCCGTTGAAATACGTGAAGACGGAATTCAAAAACTCACTTCTTTGTCTCAGGGACACGGAAACCTTGTTTCCCGGGATAATTTATAAATTTATAATTTCTCAAGTACCGTGCGTGTAATTATCAGTCTGTAAATGTAATACGGCGTCGCGACGACAAGATTTCGATGACGTCACATCTGAAAACTGATGATGCTTTCTTGATCGTTAAATCCTCAGATGAAAGTAACAAAGTTATTTTTTGGAGGACTTTATCGACTTTAGAACAGCCTTATTACCATTCTTTCGTATTTCTGTCGATAATATTTTCTTTTCTCGATGCGTCGTTGCCCAAACTGATGTTAGTCGATCTATCGAATGTCTACACGCGTCGTTGCCCAAACTGATGTTAGTCGTTCTATCGAATGTTTACATATTTACGTAATATTCTGAACATTCTGTGCCAAGTCTAGCAAAATAGACTTAGTGAGACTAAGCGCTGAGTATCGTAACGTAAAGGTCTGACCGCGTATAAGTCGAGAAATACGCGTTAAATGAAAATGAACGAGAAATTATTGCCCTGATGTCAATTTCACGCCAAGATTTTATAAATCGATGTTTAGAACTGCGTAAATCTGACAGGTGGAAAATGAAAAAGCCTTTCTCTCGTGATGACCTCCCCCCCACCTCAGAATTTCGCTAATGTTTAAAAATACGTGCTCTTTCTACCACCAAGTGTTGTACAATACTAGGAATTGAAAGAACGCGACAACATTCATCTTCATGATTCTTTCGACCTCCAGAAATATAAATTTTATGAAAATACAGAAAAAATATTTTCTCAGGAATTTATCGTCCTCAAAGTATGTCCGGTGTCTTAAGGTGTTATATTTCTGTGATAATCATTTACGTGCGAAGCAGAATATAAAACTTGCCGTATAATACTCAAAACCTATATTTCTGAGATCCATTTTAATATTATCATCTCATCCTGTGCTGGTCTCCTCCCTTGAGTGTCTCCAACCAAAAATCTTGTATGCATTTCTTGTTTCCACCCATTTGTAAGCCACGTGCAAAAAATTAGATTTGATTTCAGTTTATAACGGCGTCAGTCAGGGTAATATGTTCTCGTTCAGTTACGAACCACTTGTTGAAAACTCTTTTGAATGTTTCAAATACGCAACATATCAAACGGTTAAGAGAAAAGCGAAACCAGTGTAATCCTTTGTGATAACATTTTTCATTGTAGCGTTAAACATTCTTTTGAAAAAGACACGCGAGTTATGATCACGTGTTTGTCATATATATATATATAAAAAATATGTGAATTGTTTGTACATATGTATGGATATAAATAATGTAATAATAATGAACAAATGTTAGGAGTAAACTGAGTGCTACAAGGAGTCTCTGTGTGAAAAGCTGTTTGCATGTCGCCATTTGCGTCAGAATCCTTGCCCATGTGTTTTTTTTAGTGTTGGTACACGTGGCTTTGAAAATATTTCTTCCGGTTCCGCTTTGTACGAGGTGTATCAGATTTACGTCTGGCACGAGAGAAGATTTCGCCCTCTTTTCCATAACATCGCAGAATGACACTAGAAATTTTAAAGTGAATGAACGAAACACTAAAAACCAACATGGAACATGATCCAGAGAGAGAGAGCATATCTGCACTTCGTAGAACTGCAGTGGAACCAAAGCAGCCCTCATCGTTCCAGGCCAGTTACGTCATTTATCTGGAACCAGTCTTTAATTTTATTAATGTAAATATGTTCTAACTGAATTGTGTCGTGTTATAATGCAGTTTTGTATGTCAAGTGCACAGAGTAACATGTATCCTGTAGAAGGTGTATGAGTAAAATTTTATAGAAAAAAGGGCACGTTTTTATAAAAGTAAGATCCCAAGTTCAAAAGAAATAGGTTAATTTAAGGTTAGGTTAGTTTGGGTTAGGTTAGGATAATTTAAGGTTAGTTTGGGTTAGGTTAGTTGAGGTTAAGTTAGGTTGTTACTACAGTTGGTTGTATATGAACTGTGATCACCACCAGTTCACAAATCTGATTGTGAAGGTGTAACAATTGTTACATCAAAGTTATAAAACAAAACAAGAGTAATAAGTTATTTGTAGTTGTGAAACAAAGTATAATTGCAAGAAATATGAAGTCGGTGTCCAGAAATAAATTATACGCCACGCGACTGATAAAATACAAAATTCTGAATGCGTGCATAACAGTCACATTCACCAGGTAAGTTAACGCTCTTATGTAAAATGAAACGTTTTTCCACTCGAAATGAAAATTGAAATGCTCGACAGTTATTTGTAAAATTCTCAAATATGAAACATAATTAAAATTGTACACGCATGTGTTTGGAGCAATTTTAAAAGGCGCGCTGCAGGGTTACACGTACGCCTAAAAGGACAGAACTTATTTAAATTATGGATATCCTCTCCTGTTTTAAGTATTTGTGTATCTCCGCCAACTCTCACTGAACTCGGCACAAAGTTACAAGGCCCGTCAAACACAGAAGAAAATCACGTATAAATGTTATTTATTAAACATCATTGGACCACTTGTAAGGAAAATTTAAAATATTTAAAAAGTGTTTTGATCGCGTCCCATTAAACTGGCTCAGTGGAAGACGTAATGGCGGACATTTTCGCTATGTTTTGTTTCCATAGCAACGGAGAGACTGTGATTTGTTTACGAAAGTTCTGCCTACTTTAATTACTCTTCAAAGAATAAGCAAGGGAAATCGTGTTTAGCTTTCAAAATGACTGTCGTGTAGAATACGTGTTTGTGTGTTTCTAGTCGACAAAGACGTGGCATCAGTTATTTATAATCGTACGTGACTATCCGTAGCGATCCTGTCCTGCATTTCAAATATCTTGCGTCGTTTATACGCAGAAATATTTATTGTACGCGGGAAATGCATTTGATCGACCTACGTCGATTATCGACCTACGGTAATGTCAGATACGCCTCAGTCTGGATGTTTACCTTTGTCCCAGCTGAGAGGGCAGACGGTCGAAATATAATTCTCCTTCCCCTCCTGACAAGCTTTAAAAATGTTACTATCAGTCCTGCAAACATTTTCACTATTACTTAAATTCTATCTGCTTACTGTACTCTCTAATTATACAGAAAACTTCTCTCAACGCTTACAAACAAACAAAGCTCTTTGTTAACCGACAAGTCAGACATGACAAAGTTCAAAACTACGATTCACAAATGAAACGAATAATGTTTTCCTTATGGATAGTACATGAGGCTACTGGCTAACGCGCTGTTACAATTAACAAGCACCCACCCCAAATCGTCTGTACAGACGGAAATTTTGCAGCGTCTATAAATGCAAATTTTAAAATTATTTATGATGTAAATGCTAACCAATAATACGGTCAAAATCGTTATCACCGCAAAGAAGAAAAATATAAAGGCCGATTGGACCAAAGGCGAGGCATTATGGGCCATTTCCAATCTATTATCAACACGTGTGGCCACTCGCGTCATCCTTTGAAAGTTGATGTTTTGAATCGCGTAGTCCAGAAACAAAGGATTGTGGGAAACGATTGTTAGCTGTAAGTTTCTCTTGAAACCAAATGGAACACACCTGTTTATCAATCCTACCAACATCAGCGCTATTGTAGTCCATTTTTTTTCCAGCTTAAATTGTTATTTAATTTTTATAGCGTACGATTATTTCATGCTGACGTTTCTCTACGTGAATCCTCCGAGATGATTAATTTTCAATAATCAGGTTTTTTCCCGACAGTACTGATACATATTTCCCTCAATAGGAAGCCAAGAGTTACAAGCCATTTTGTTTTATGCTGGTATAAAGTGAGCTTGCCTGGAACATAAGGTCGAATTTTGGCCACTTGACTACTGTAAAAAGAGCCTTAAGCGTAGACATTCGTTTCAGCACCTCCTCTTTAAACCCACGAATGTCTACGCTTAAGGCTCTTTCACAGTAGTGAAGTGGCATAAATTCGACCTTATGTTCCAGGCAAGAGTTTCTGCCTTTGAGGTCTCACTTCACGAGGTGCTAGTCTCGGACACGGGATTTGTCCCTGTGATCTGCCGTCCCTTAAATGTAAATTTCATGATCCCAGCGGCAGTGGACGTCAATAAACAGCTAGCTGATATTCCGTAGATTCAATCCACGGTGCCTTTGACATTGCGTGACAGACGTCACGAAAGGTCCACGCCCTGGTTCACATAAAACTGCTTTGTCTACTGAATTTCTTTGCCTTTCCATTTTTTACGCATTCACGAAACGTCCAGCTGAAGCAGATCGAACTAGCTTCATACTTGCTTCAGTGAGAATCTGAAACATTACAAATTTACACGTAACTAACGAACTAGCGGGAAAAATAATTTTCTTTTGTATAGTGAAACGTCTGTTCTGGTGGGTAGCTTTGTCAACAGCAGACTTAAACCCTTCTTCCAGTGCTTAATTACTACTTTATAAGACGTGTAAGGGGCACAGAGGCAAATATTCTGGACCTCGTCTGAGTAAGACCTAGTCCACGACCAATAATCCAACAATGGACGAGAATGTCAAGCTAAAGTCTGGGGGTAATCGTC